AAAAGACACAACAATATACTGCATACACGGCTTCGGCACAATTGCGTGCTAAACGCTGATCTTTATAGATGTACTATAATATCTAGTCCATTATGTTCCTGCGGTAAGGTAGAAAATACACATCATTATTTTTTCTCGTGCCCTAACTACAACGAGGCCAGGAAAGAGTTTTTCGATAAGTTCTTGAGATTTAATAAAGTCCATATTGTTGACATTCAGACTTTACTCTGGGGGGATACATCACTCAGTATTGCTGAAAATGAATATCTATTTTCTATTGTACATTCTTATATTCAGCATTCTGGTAGATTTAACTGATTGTACACATTATTTTTAAAAACTATTTGTATAAACAATAATGTAGCAGTCTATATATGTCCACAATGAGAGTTTATTTAATTTATTTATTATTTATTTTGTACAAACTGTTGAACACTTCTAATTCATCCTGTTATAATATCTCATGTAGGGAGAGGGCGATTTAAGTTTTTAGAACTTGTGCCCAATCCCATTGTATATATTTTGTGCAATAAAATATGTTCAAATCATCAAATCAGTAGCGTATAATAATTTGTACACAGTTTATTAACACAAAAAACTTCCTATAAAAATCTATAAATTCAATCAACGATCGGAATCACTGATCGTTTTAGTGAAGGAAGGCAGAAGGTTAAAAATGATATTTGTTATGTTGCCCAGTGAACGCAAGTTTGAAAAGAGAATTTTCTTAATTATGCAATTTGTTATCAAAACCTCCAATTTACAGTTTGAAAAATAGTTGAATATCTTAACTATAATATAATTATTAAATACCTAAGATATCGTTTACTTTAGATTTTAAACATATTAGATATGATCAAAAGGAGACACCCATTTTCTATCCACCTTGAATAAATGTCTGTCCCGAGACAGAAGATTTGGGTTTAGATGGTCGCCATGCTCATTTTTGGAAAGGATATTCTTATCCACCCAATCTGTTGCCGAAATTTGAACATTTCTGACAAATTAACTGCCCTTGTCAAAAAAATTAACTTGCATGGAAATAAATATAAAAGTCGGAAAAATCTTTCAGCTTTTGTGACAGAACGCTACGGATGGGATCACGTGATTGCCTTTATCATGTGATTCGCGCATTAGCAGAACGGTGGCAGATGTGCATTAAAATCGGAGATGACTAATTTAAGATAATTATAAACAACTGAAACCAAATATTGTTTCTTTAATGGAAGTTATTCTATTAGTTTGCGAACGTTTTGATCACCACTCTTATCACCATAAGAAGTTGCTCAGGTCTCCTTAAACGGACCTGTATAACCTTCATTTGTTTAGAAATTTACAGTAGTCTGAGATATAATTTATCACATACATGTATTAATACAAAATGTAAATAAATTTCCTAGCGGTATAAGAATATTGCATCTTTAAAATACTTTTACATGTAAGACACACACTCCAGATTTGTTCGTGTGCAAAACTTTAAATTAACAAAAAGGATTTTTATCAATTTTTAGATCGTATTAATTTCATGCATTTGTATTATAGGTTATACCATATGATGAATTCTTTAACGTTGGGAGTAAATGTCTATGTAAAAATGAATTCAAAGCATGCTATGCCTGCACAACGACAACTACCCAAGAAATAACATTGGGGTATAGTAAGTAATTCTATTATGACGTATTATAAGATGAATTTTTGTATGGAATATTGTCAAACTATTTCACGTCATCACTATCGTACTTTTTTGTATGTCTTTGATTGAACTCAACTCGGCTTATAACAGTTATTGTATGATAATGTTGTTGTTTAGCTACTTTGATCTTTCTGTTGTCATTTTTTTCTTAATAAATGACTATTCTAATTCCTACTGAATGCGTTGTGTTGCTTTGGTGTAATGAAAAGTCGCATAAAGTACCGGACAGAAGAATAATCCTATCAGTTATCAATAAAGTATTCACGCTAATTTTACTCGTGTTATTTTTGACTTTTTGGACAATAATTTGAGATATAATTATTTGCAAACATGTCAGGACGATTTAATCAGCATCAAATATTTATTTCTATTTTTAATCGAGATAAATGATACAATTTTACTCATATATCACAGATTTACATTTATGCATGATAGTATAATCATATTTTATATATATTCATATGTAAATTAAAATTTATGTATGGATATGTGTAATATTAAGTGTATGTTTGTGTGTGTGGGTATGAAACTATGTATTCAGATTAGAATGTAAAATATGTATTGAACTAACTCTAAAAAATATATTTTGCATCAAGTTTATAATTATATGCTGAGTACTTGTTAATTGAAATTATTATTCCTGTTAACACTTCAATGATTTTTCTTAAATGAGCGTCTTGAATACTTAGGGTACAGGTTGCCAGACTGGCTGTGTAGAGGTATCATCCCTTGGTGCACTCTGTATTCAAGATGCACTATATATTATTGTACTGCCATTATTACAAGAATGTTCAATTTTTATTTATTTAATATGTATTATTAATTTTTTTTATCATCCTGGGTTTTCTATACTTTTTCTATACTTTTGATCCAGTGTGAGACTATACTATGAATATGTAACAAATCCTACATTTTCATGATGATACAACTTGTGGTATTGCACTTCTCCATGTCAAACCTAATTACTAAATCATATTACATTATACATCTATAATATTCAATTGTAATCAGTGTAATCATATTGTAATAATTTGTTCATGTTCCCTGAGGGCCTTTGATTGGTGAATAAACATATTATATCAACTGATTTTTTTGCAGAAAATAATTAACAATGTTAATTAAAGCTAAAACATTTTGCAATAAATGCATTTCTCACCAAATATCAAAAACTTCAATATCGATTGACAAGAACATATACATCTTTGTTTTGTTTTTGTTTTTTTGTTTTTTTTTTATGGGATTCTTTGATGGCTGCCAAGAATTTTACTTCGCTGAGTTTCCAATATACTGAACAATATAATAAATTTATAATAAATTTTATTTAATAAAATTCTTTATGTGTGTTATTTAAGACCAAAGTAAAACTGCGCTAGTTTTTTGATGGATTAAAAGAAAATAACAACAGTGATGAAAGTGAAAAAATATCATTTATTGAAGTAAATGACGCAAAGCAAAAAATAAACATACTAAGGGGGTCAGACAAGACTAGAAAAAAACTTCAACAGAACACAAAAATCTTTGGTATCATATTATACAATCTGACCCCCTAAAATTAAATATAGCATAAAGCAGACACTGATATACCTGCCATCAAAAAGGGTGGGATAAAATTGGATGGGTGGATCCGATATGCTTTTGGATTGTGGCGTTTATTTTCTTTTATCCCACCCTTTAATTTCCCAATTATAACAAGTAGCATGCGGCAGTTGTGACCAGTCAGCAGGGGATGCTTACTCCTTCATGGCAATTGATCCCACCTCTGATGTTTTGGAGGTCCATGTTTGCCCTGTTACTATTTTGTATTGTTTTATAGTCTTTTGAACTTGAATACTGTTCGTTATTAGCATAATTATATTTCACTTAAAGTATTCCTTTATTATTGAGTCATGACTATGTTACTTTATTTTTCATCTTAATTTTTCATGTGTAACTAACCCAGATCAGAATAATTATCTCTTCTTATTTTCATAAAAAATTGTGTTTGCATGTGAATCTTTTTAATATCTATATTTTCCTTCTCACTTCCTTCTGTAGATCTTCAGGTTCCAACAGTCACCACAGATATTCTAACCCTCCATCAGTCACCACAGAAAATATTCCCCCCACAGATACAGTGACCACAGATCCTCCCCCTCAACCAGTCACTACAGAATATATTCCCTTCACAGGTACAAAACCCCCATCTGTAGCCCCACATAGGGATGATAATGCTGTTTTGGCAGCCGTCCTCGGAACAGCGTTAGGAATTATCCTCGCTATCATCATTGGCTTCTTTACAATCAAGTGGAGAAGGAAATTTACAGGTATATAAAGTGTTTTCGTTTGTCGAGATATAATCTTTAACTTTTTTCTTGATTTGAATAATATATGAAATATATCGCCGATTTATACATGTATACATGTATATACATTCTGAAAGTAGTTTTATTTAGACATATCAAATCAAAAAAGACTTTTTATGTATGATTTTTTAAATATTCATAAGTCATATTAATGGTATAAGTGATATTCTTCAAAAACAAATGTTGAAAACTAAATTCTGTACAAATCTGAAAAATAACCTAAGTCGTGGACACCTGTTATATTTATTTACAATCAAAAATTTAGCAATTTTAGATGAAAAGGAAATCAATAATATGATTCTGCTCTAAAGCATTTATATTTTAAGCAACAATCAACATAGACCAAATTCTCCGATGGTTGAACTTAACAGGTGTTTAGTTTTAAATGACAGGTGATAAAGGAAAAAACAAAAATATTTACATTGTGTGAATGTCATTTAAAATCTTTTTTGGAAATAAAATGTGCATGTTTGTCTTATTTTTGTAATGCAGTGGATTAAATGAATATGATATTTTTTATTTATTGTAGGGGGAAATACTGAAAAGCCGGAAAACATATACACAAACTTACAGCCTCGAACTATCGATGGTGCCGATAACCCGACGTTCAGAAAAGATAATTATGAAACTCTTGGAGGTATATAAAATAAAATCTTATCTAATTGGCTTTAATAATTCGCCGTCCTGCTACTATATGTCCGTTGTATATCCTTCTTTCACTCTTTTGTTATATTTCAAAGTTTCATTATCATTTAATCACTTTCACATATATTGACACCGCATTTTTGGAAAAATATATTCTTAATATTCCATTAATTTTAATACCACGTGGAATAAATTGATAAATACAATCCAGCTTCGAGAAATAAAACTTTGCTATTTTGAAATATTTTTAACGTAAAATTAAGACCTCTATGCTTAATATGAGAACTGAAATTTTGTGAAACTAGATATACGTGCCAAATTATTTACAGCTTATTTCAATAGTTATCCTTTGATTATTTTTCTTACAGGCACATAATTATTAAATTATAATTGAGTAATTAAGTCCTGTGTAAAAGAGGAAAAACTCATTTATTTTAAAGTTGACCTTTTTGTGTATTTCTAATGAGAAAAGTTCAAATATTTTCACAAATTTGCAATGATAATGTGTAATACTTTATTATATCTTAAAAGTACATATGTATTACTCTTTAATCACCTTAGCCTGGTTCCCCGTCTCATCCTTGCCAAGTAATGCGGAGTACACGAAGCACAAAAGGGACAGGGAACTAGGCTATCATCACCTTTGAACTCCACGAGCTTTGAAATTTTCCCCCTATACTGAGATAATATTATATTTGTTTTAATGTTGTTTAATAAATAAATACTCTTATATTTTTTCCACAGTGAATGGACGTGGTTTGCCGCTTAAGACAGTGTTTCTTGCGTATGCAGAGGATCATGAATGCCACAAAGAAGTCGTCAAAGCGTTTGCTTCCTTCCTGGAGAATCATTGCCGTTGCAACGTCATCTTCGCACCGTGGCACGTTTCAGATATCATGCAGGACAAATTTCGTTGGGTGATCAATTCCATGGACCAGGCAGACTACACAGTGATTGTTAATTCTTTAACAGCCTACCAACAGTTTCAACACTGGAAATCCAATGATGTAAAACACAGCAAAATTTTTCAAGGGAGTCCATTAGCAGATCTGTTTATACCAATATTAAATCAGACTTGTATTCGCATGAATAATCAGTCGGACTACAAAAAATTCATAATGGTCCGTTTTGAATACACACTAAAAGAACATACAATTACTGAACTTAATTCTGGGGGAGAATATGTACTAATGAAGCATCTTCAAGACTTCTTATGTCACATCCATCAATTGGGACGCCATAAGACCAAAATGGAAGATGTCGGTTTGGCGTTTGTAGATGACTACACACAGCTAGTTGAGGGAGCAGCTCTAGATGAGAAAATACAGAAAGCTAAGGTACACGAAGCAAGATTTCCAAGAAGGATGGACTCGGAGAGTTCTAGTGATTCTGGGCTTGACAGTGCGGAAAGCCTGCCTGAGAACGACAAGCAGACAATAAAAAAGATGTATGAGAGCTTCCAATATGACGTTAAAGGCGACAGTATAACAGAAGTTTTTCATTTCTACCGCGACTCGGAAACGGAGGATTGTCCGAGTCCTCGATCCTGTCCTGGGCCAGACAACCTCAGCGATCCTACATTCCACCCCCCTAGTATGATAGATCCAATGGATGATTCAAGTGAGGTGCTTATGGAAAAGATGATGTCTCTCAACATTCAAAATGGAGGGTTCCAAAATATTCAGATAGCAGAGTGTGATAACACGAATGTCGAGGTAGATGAAAACTTTTTTAGTGACGAAGAATCATGCAGAAGTATTGGTGGGAAGAGTGTATGAAAAGTACATTATGCAATATATATGTCTGGACACATTGTCTCTAACATCTATTTCTGTTATTTCTTATTTTATAATCCGCTTATTTTAATTAGATTGCATGTATTCCGTTATCTATATATTCCTTAACATTTCTACAATAACATATACCTCTACCATTATTTTTCACATTTTTTAGATCTGTGTAACATGTATATTTTCTGGCGTTTCTAGTCTTCTAGATGTGTTTATATAAGATATTTCTGTAGTATTATTTACCGAGGAATACATATTCAGGTTGGAGAATTTATCAAATTTGCAAACAAAAAACCTAATGAATTATGAAGTAAGGACTAATTAATCATAATGACATATTTTAGTACAAATGCATTTTTGAGTTTTAAAGATCTGTTTGATTTAAAAGAATTATAAATAAATGTCTATCTTTCTTTTAATCTACCTGTGTTAAAAACGACAATGATGTACAATTTTTTTATTATTGATTTTATTTAAATATTTTGTTCCCTATCATGCCATTTCTTTTTCTTTTCATAAAAAATCATGTTAAGATTTATTTTCCTAACTATTTGATATACTAACCTGTAAAAAAAAAGAATAATGAAGAAAAATACACTCAAAAGGCTTTCTGATTTTTAAACTTTCTAAGTTACTTTTTTATTTAATTTAATTTTTTTAAAAATTATTTTTGTTTCTTAAGATACTTGTTTTTGTGTTTTTGATAGTGTATATATCGTTTGTTATGTTTAGTTCTTGCATAATAAACATTTGTTTAAAACGTGACATGTTGGCTTTATTTGGCAATTGCAATATTGTTCTTACAGTATTATTTGATATTAATCAATATGTATTTTTTCTTTTTTTTGCGGAAAACATAAATAAGAAAAAATTATTACAAATCAAGATTTCGGTAACATTTTACTATGTTTTTATTAATATTGCATTTATATTTCATATTGGCTTTATGTATCAAATACTTGCATATTATAGGACAATGAAACACATACATAATTTCAATGAATTTTGAGTAGTGTGAAAATGAGAATCTCTTTACAAAAATTATGTTGAAAACAATATCCACATTAATATAAAATGGAACAAAATTTCATTGAGTTTATGTTATGCCTCCCAAACCAATACAGCTGCCTGTACATTTTCATTTTAAAATGTTGTCTTAAAGCCTTTTGCAAGAAAAGATAAATAGCAAATGAAATGAATAATTGGGAATGTATTGCTTGATAGCTCGTGGATTTCAAGGTTTGCAAGGCGAGTAGTTGAAATATCAGGTTAAGTTGTCAGCTGAGGAGGTCAAAATCCTTCATATTCTCCTACCAGTTCCACTGTAAAGAAGTTTTTGATATGGTTCTATAACTCTTATAAAATGCATATTTGAAAATGTAACGTGTAAAACAAACATGTGTTTTCACCTTTCAGTTGCAATTGTTTCGAAGCGCAAGAGCATGCTTAAAGTGTATGTTTCTAAAGTTAGGCAAGCTGCAACAAAATACGTTGAGATTCCTTTTTTTGTTTTTAGTCTTATGCTCTTGCCATACGTTTACAAATCGAGATCAGTGGTGTCGTTTAATGTATATTTTGTATGTTCTGTGGTTAATTTATTGACCTTATTAATAGGCACAGTCAGAAAGCATAAATCAAAGCCAATAATTTTGGTAAATGTGTAGATCTTCAAAATTCGATGGGACTCCACAGTTCGATGGTCACGCCAAAGTCCGATGGCGCGGAAAACAATGAACGTCTATGAAGTCATAGTACTACTGCTGCAAACATCAATGTCACGCCAGGTCAAGGTCTTACATAAGTATGAATAAATAATATATGAAACTAACCTCAATCTCTCAGATATGTGTGAAACAACCCCTTATCATTCGGAAATTGTGTAACATTATATCCTAGATATCTTCGGTGGATGCAAGATTAACCGTGATCACGTGACTTCTGTGCGAGGACTAATAGTAGCCCCAAATCTCTCGGGTTGGTTCGAAGAAAGGACTGAACCTAATCAGTTGAGTGGTGTGTGATAATTACATGTAATCCTAGTATCTCTGGAAGGTGCAAGCAGTAAGCAAAATCAATGAAATTGATTGAGAGGACGAATTCAAAATTGATGGCTTTTGAATGCAGGACAATGGCGTCAGTGATTGACGTCGATTATTGTGATGTCATGAACGTTAATTGTTTCCCGCAGCATTAGATTTTGGCGTTTCAAACCATCGCACTTTAGCGCAGCGCGTCTCATAGGAGCCATCGGACTTTGGCATGACCATCAGACTTTGGCGTCCGTACCGATATCAAACCATCGGGGTTTGGCGCAGACCGTCGAGGTTTGGCGAGACCATCGGACTTTGGCGTTATGATCGGACTTTGGAGTCTTGCAAATATATTAATAAATTGCACGAGTGATGTTAATTTAAATTTCTTCCGATATTGCCAGTTAAAATCAAACTTATACATTGTCCATGTTGTTGAAAACTTTACCTTGACCATGCAAATTGAAAATATGTTTCATAACTGTAAATTTAAATATGTTTCGTAACTAATATTTTTTATGTGCGAAACATATTAATTGTTTACCTGTCATGCGATGATAAATTGAAAACAATAATGTCATTAAAATGATTACAGCATAAAAAGTGCATTCAGAAATTCTTTGGACATTTTTGTAATGCCATAATAAAGCATCAACAATACATGTAGATCATTATAATTGCTGAATGAACTTCAACGTAACGGCAAAAACGAAGCATATTAAAGTCAATTATACACATATATTTATTTTGTTTTTGCATCAATCAACACTGAATTAAATGGTGCATGAATGGTGTCATCATCTTGACAAATTTAGGTCAAAAAGATTGAATGAAACAAGGCAACGGGGTCATCAACATGCTCGTTACATTCTTGTTTGGCATTGAAGAAAAAAATGCTTTTAATTTGATATTTTTAGAATTAACTACCGGTATGCCTTACATTTTTTTTTTAAACAAAGTGGATTTCGTTACAATAAAATATTGCACCAGTATACTCATTACATAACAAATTAAAAAAATCAAATTGCACAGATAATACATAATATAAAAAGTAAAAAAGATAATCCAAGTACGGGAAAAACAAGAGAAATTTTAGCGAAGTCGGAGGTTATATACCGGTATTATCGAAACAGGGAGGTTGTGCATGTGTGTGTGTGAGGGTGTGTGTGCATGTGAGAGAGAGAGAGGTTGTGTGTGAGAGAGGGGTGTGTTTGTGAGGGTGTGTTTGTGTTGGGGAAAGGGGTACTTTCCCCTTTTGTTTGCAACAAAATTAAATTATTTGCATAGAAATCGATTTCGAATGTTGCCTTGATTTATAGATATGCTCTCTCTATATATTTTAGAGGCATCATCTTATTCTATAATCTGTTAGTTAATTTATTTGAGGATTTTCAGAAAAAAATCACATCTTAATCAGTTAATAATAGGGTTGTTGGAGATATATACAATGCCATAAAATTTGCAAAGTCTATTACCATTCTATTTTTAAAAATAAGACTTTGCCTGATTATCTCAGGCACAAAAACGACTTAACGGATAAAAATTTGTTAAAGCTATAATTACATAGACTGTATCGGACAAAAGTTACCCATATACTGTATACAGGGTTATTTTCGCCCCGTTTTATTTTCGCCCTCTCACACTTGCAACCAATTTTGCCCCCTTTTAAATTCGCCCAGTCACAATTTTGTTTAAGAAAATATATTGTATATTATTAATTCGCCCCTTTTTAAATTCGCCCATATGATGTAAGGGCGAAAGGGGCGAAAATAAAACGGGGGCGAATATTTCCCTGTATACAGTATTCAATCCTACAGTGTATTTAGAAATTCTATCGCGCCTCTAATAAAATTTACCCCTTAAAAGGCGTACGAAAAAAGCACTCTAATACATGTGAGTGAAATACTACTAGTATTAGAATTTTTAGGTTTAGGGCTGAATTTAGGTTAGTCCTCTGCATATGTTCACAAAGCTAGGTTTGCACAATGACTTGCAGGGTTATTGCATATTAAGTATATAATACCAGGTATTATGTATGAGAAATAGCATCATTGCAAACCACGGTCAAAATGTACGATCCTCTTCCATTCTGGAGAGAGCTACATATATATACAGACTCCGACCGTGACTTGAGACGACGGAAAAATAGAGGCAAAAAATATTTTGTTATTCTGTTTTTTTTTTCTTTCTCTTTTTTTCGAGAAGTATACGAGGGTTGTCCGTTAAAATCGTGGACAAAGCGTTTTCTCAAAAATAATAGGCTCCGTAAGATGAAATTTTTAGCAAGGATTTATTTATCATATTTTAGTTTATCTAAATTCTTTTGATAAATTAAAGACAAAAATTAATATATAATCAACATGCTCTAATGTACATACACGAGTATTATTTGGAAAAAAAAAAGCATTAAAAAGATTTTGATAAACGTTATCCTTTTTTTATTCAAACACTCTCTGTTGTGTCTTATATTGGAAAATTTTAGGGCATTTGATTAAATTTTGGCAGTTTACCAAAATTTCATTCTCGAAAGGGACGAGAAACAAACAAAATCAGTCGTGCCACCGTCTATCAGTACTCACAGTACTTTGATTTAATATAAAACTTGGATTACCTATTGTGGCCCCGCTCCATCCCGGAAACTGATGCAAAAACCCCTTAAAAACAAGACACCAAGTAGAGAAATGTTTGAACAAAGGGTGCAAAACTAAAAGAGCAAATTTAACTTACCTCTAGAGAGATGCTCTCCATTTTGTTTGTCTATTTATAGGAATTCCTTCTGTGAGCAGTAACGCATTCGTATTCATTAATTTGATCACAAAAAGAACCACTAGACAAAATAAGTATTATTTTCTTGTGCTTTTGCTATCAATTTGTGATTCATTCGTTAGACTTGGTTACATTTCATACGCCATTGAAACAAATGTTTCACATGGGGGAGGATTTAATATGGCAATGTGTGTTGCCTATAAGAACATTTTTCTAGTTCAGACATTGCTAATTAGTTTGCAAAGATATTAAGTTATTTGTCAGAGTTCTCAGAGCAATCGTTTATTTCAAAATGAAAGAAAATATATTATTTGCATCTCTTGGTGGCTGATACATTGTAATATTAATTTTCACGGTTGGTTTGATGTCCCCACCAAACGTTCCGATGCAAACTTTTCAAGTTCAGTATATCTACCAAAGACATTTTCAAATTTTCATCACTTTTAACAAGCTGTTGGTAACGTTACTTGTTGTAACAGTCGGATTGTATTAACTTTAACGCCATGTTTTTAAACAGAACAGAGTGGCTGCTGTAAAGCCTTTATACAAAGATTTGGAAAGGTCGAGTAAGACACTGCGAGAAAAATCCAGGCATCAGGTCAAGGAGCAGGCAGCAAAAGTGACATTAAGAAGAATAATATTAATAAGATAGAAGTAAAACCTAGCTATTCAGCCTCAGCAAACAAATTACAACGGCCTGAAGGATCCAAGAGCGAAAGTAACGTACGACATGAAGTTTCTACTTCGGGTTATCAACAAATGGCAGTTAGGAAGAGAAAAAGGCTTCAAA